TTTCAGCTAAAATATCGGCTCCTCTCTTGACAAAATATTGTGATTTTTCCTGCGTCCCGTAAACGCAATTTCTCGTTATTTTCATCAATATGTATAGAATTCTTGGTCAGGGCACTATTTTAAATGTACTATTACCTTTTTTTTGTTTTTTGGTCAGAGGTTTTCGGTCCCTTTTTCTCTCAGGATCTATAAATGACTTTCTTCGCCGAGCCAAACACCCGTTATACAGGAAAAAAGCAGCTTTGAATCCTCTCTAAATGCAAATCGCGATTGTTCCTCACTCGTTCAAAGCTGAGAAACATCACGGCAAGAGGAAAAAATGACTGACGTCACCTTTTGTAATTTGCACTCACAACTTAGTTTATCTGTATAATTACCTGTCATTATAACTTAAAACAAAATGTTATATACCACGATTTACATGACAATTAGTGGACTAGGTTTTGTGAGCTTCTATTGACCAAGGTCAATAGAAGCTTTTTAAACTGAACTGGAAGGCTGATATCACTTTTCATGACGAAAAGTTCATGGTAAGAACAGCTTTCTATTAAAGTATCACAACCGTATTTGCATTTAAACCTCTCTGTTAGAGTGTCTCCAATGAGATGCCATCCGACNAGAAACTCGTATGAGAACTGATGATGATAAGTAAAAGCTGCCGGCGATTTTCGTGGGTCGTTTCAGCTAAAATATCGACTCCTCTCTTGACAAAATATTGCGATTTTTCCTGCGTCCCGTAAACGCAATTTCTCATTATTTTCATCAATACGTATAGAATTCATGGTCAGGAGACTATTTTAAATGTACTGTTACCTTTTTTTGTTTTGTGGTCAGAGGTTTTCGGTCCCTTTTTCTCTATGATCAGGATCTATAAATGACTTTCTTCGCCGAGCCAAACACCCGTTATACAGGAAGAAAGCAGCTTTGAATTCTCTCTAAATGCAAATCACGATTGTTCCTCACTCGTTCATAGCTGAGAAACATCACGGCAAGAGGAAAAAATGACTGACGTCATCTTTTGTAATTTGCACTCACAACTTAGTTTATCTGTATAATTACCTATCATTATAACTTAAAACAAACTGTTATATACCACGATTTACATGACAACTAGTGGACTAGGTTTTGTGAGCTTCTATTGACCAAGGTCAATAGAAGCTTTTTAAACTGAACTCGAAGGCTGATATCGCTTTTCATGACGAAAAGTTAATGGTGAGAACAGCTTGCTGTTAAAGTATCACAACCATATTTATATATAAACGTCTCTGTTAGAGTGTCTCCAATGAGATGCCGTCCGACAGAACAAGCATTTAATACCTTGTCCAAGTTTGCGTTGGAAAACAAATGTTCTCCTATCAAGCAATAGATCTATAGCATGATTTTTCTCATTACCAAAGAAGTAAAACATTATTTAGTGTCAGAACAATACTCTACGAAATTTGAATAATAATGCTATCATTTAGTTTTCTTCCTTGCCGCTCTGGTTTTTGATGAACTTTAGCAATAAAAAGCTATTAGAGCTAACTCAAAAAACCATGCGGTTCCTTTAGCCTCTAGGCTGCAATTGGCAATTACCTTCCTTGTTATTTTCTGTGATCAACTTGTAATATATATATATATATATATATATATATATATATA